CCGCTCCCGCTCCCGCCGGGGCTCGCTGCGGTCAGGCTTCTCCCGACCCCAGCCCGCTCGCCCGCTTCCCCGCCCGGGGACAGGCACCCACGGAGGCTGTGGGGTCTCCATCCTCGGAGGTTTCTAAGACCGGGGTGGGCAAAGCCTTGGCTGGAGTAAGGTAGTTGGCGATGGTCCTGCTTGGAGCAGGGGGTTGGACTGGATGTGACCTCCTGAAGCCCCTTCCAACCCTCGTTTTCTCCGATTGTAACCCAAATGGGGCTCCAAAGAGCATGAGGCTGAACTGCTCTCAGTGGTGGCAGATGACAGAACAAGGAGCAACGGCCTCCAGTTGCAGCCAGGGAAGTTAAGGTTAGATACCAGGAAAAACTCTCAAGAGGAGGGGAGTAAAGCATTGGAACAGGTTACTCAAAGAGGTGGTGGAGTCTCCGTCCTGGGAGGTTTTTAAGACCTGGGTAGACAAAGCCTTAGTTAGGATGATCTAGTTGGGATGGTCCTGCTTGGAACAGGGGGTTGGACTAGATGTGACCTGAGGTCCCTTCAACCCTCATTCTCTGTGCTGCTTCCGTTTGCAGCCCTAGGTTCTGCTCCTCACTGCCACCAGCACCGTCCCCGGCAAGGGCCAGCTCCTGTCTGGGCACAGGCCTTTTTAACACAAATTTAATATGGGCTTAATGCCCACAGAGCCCCCGCCTCCCCCCTCCATTATTAGGGGAGGTATTAGATATATGTCAATTCATTTCAGGGTCTTAAAAACCTCAGCTCCATGCCATCCTCAGCTCCATGGTAGCTTTGGCCCGTCTAACTGCCTCCCTACAAGCACGAGCAGAGGAGGTATATTCGTCTTTGGTGATCTCTCCCTGTTTCCACTTTTTATGTGCTCCCCTTTTGGCCCTTAGGCTGCCCTGGATTTCTGTGGTCAGCCAGGGAAGCCTCCTGGCCCCTTTCCCTCTTTTACCTCGCATGGGGATCGTCTTGCTTTGTGCCCGAAGGATCGTTTCCTTAAGGCACAGCCACCCTTCTTGGACTCCCATCACTTCAAAACTCCTACTCTGCAGTGCGTCCTTGACTAATCGCCTGAGTTCACTTAAATCAGCTTTCCTAAAGTCTAGCACTTCCACCCTACTAGTTACCTTACCCACTCGACGTCTTATGGGGAATTCTATTATTAGGTGATCACTGTCCCCCAGATGGCTACCAATCTGTAGGTCCCCTACCATGTCATCCCCCGTTGCCAATACCAGATCCAGTATGGCATTCCCCCTAGTGGGACCGTGCACCTCCTGTGTCAGGTGGAGGCCCTGTACACAGGATAGGAACCTGCGTGAACGGTAGGACTTTGCCATCTGCATCTCCCAGCAGATGTCTGGGTAGTTTAGGTCCCCCATGACTACCGCCTCTTTAGCTTTTATGGTCTCCGTGAGCTGCCTCAGGAGCCCCAAATCTAGTTCTTCCCCTTGATGTGGGAAAGAAATAGATGCTGTTTTGCTTGCCCTTAGCCATAAAGCCCTTGGAGCAAGCATGCCAGGGACAGCCAGGCATCCTGGGAAGAGCAGGAAAATCTCTGTCACTTCAGAAGCTGTTCCACAGGTGTAGGTAAAAGACCTGGGAGGTTTGTGAGACCAGAATGGGGTCATTGAAGGCTGCTCCAAGTGCCGAGCCACCAGCTATTTTAAACACTCACACAAATCACATTTGATTTATGACCAGGACCCTGGAGCTGTGCCTGTTTGTGCTGCAAGGAGCCAGATGCAGGGCTTTGGTAGCTGGGAGGCATGGATCTGGGGAGAGGGAAGCAGAGGTCATGTTCCTTTGCGCAGGGGGTGGGGGGGACACACAGCCCTCTTCCCTGGATCTCTCTAGTGCATTTAACAAACTTCTTCCTGTCTTTGCAGTAGCAGGACATTGGCAGCACCCTCATCCCGCTGCTTTACACAGGCATCTTAGGGTGTGTTTGATATTTCGGGCTTTGTGCCTGGTAGCTGTGTGGGAGAGTTGCTCACAAGACTTTTAACAAGTTAGATGGGTACTTGCCTTGGAGGGATTAGGTCAGTGATTCTTAACCAGGGAATCATGGGATCCTATTAAGGGTGTTGCACCATATTACCAGAGTTGGGTGTGCAAACACCTACCCATGCTTCACAGAATAAACCCAGGGATCTCCACAGTGTCATAAACACTCTGGTCTTCTGGGCTCTTTCGGAGTCTTTTGTAACAAAAGAATCGTTCTAGTATTTTTCTGTAATCAGAAAAAGAGTGACAGCTCAGAGCTGGCATATTCCGCGGGGGCGGGGGGAGTCTAAAATGACAGTTGAGAACCACTGGTTTAGATAAGGGCAATCCAGAATAGAGCAGGGGGTGACTTCCTGGGGGCACCGTCAGCCCTGTATCCCTCCCGCCTGCACACAGGGACTCCTGCCGTCAGCCCCTGGCACCTCCGTGAATGCAGCAGCCAGAGACCTCCAGCCATGATGTAGAGACCTCCTGTGTCAGAGAACGTTCTGGGCCTGCAGCTCCAAGGGTTAATTCCCCTGTGAGCACAAGAACTGCCATTTACTGGCTCAGACCATGGGTTCATCTAGCCTTACATCCTGTGCCACACTGGGACAGAAAGCAGATGCTGAAAGGAGAGTGAACCGGCTCTGACCAGGATTTTTCCACTGATCCTCTCTCACTTGCAGCCTCCAGTATCTAAGGTCTGGGAAGTTCTGATTCAGAGGCTGTGCCCCTCACTCCCATGCTCAATGGCTCCTGATGCCCCTTTCCTCCAAGCATGTGCCCCGTCCCTTTGTGAATCTGGCTGAACTCTCAGATTCCACCACATCTGGTAGCAACGAGTTCCACCCTTTAATGACAAGCTGCATAAAAAAGAAGAGCCCTGCAGTGCAGAAATGCCTCTCTCTGCCCTGCGCTCTCACCTCCTGCTCCTGTTCCCATGCTAGGCCCTGCCCTTCAAAATGTCCCACCGTCACCTTGTTCTTTCATCCTCCAGGTGTCCCCTGAAATCCCAGGATGCCAGTAACTGTCAGGCTGTTCCCTGCCATGGCCCTCTTTGGCGGCTGGTGAGTGGTGACCTCCCCTGCCCCCACCTGTATCTGTCTCAGGTTCACCTTGGGTGGGGACCATCACGTGCACTTGTGCGCCCGTGTCTGTGTGTGTGTACTCACATGCATATGTGTGGGCGTGCAGCACTGGACACCAGAGCCCCATTCCCAGTTGGCCCTTGGCCCATAATGGGGATTAAACCATGCTGCCCCAGATCTGAGCAAGGACATGATGGCAGACAAGAGTGCAGCTCCCCATGCAACCTGCTTTGAGCAGCACCTTGGCCTCCAACTGGCAGTCCTGGGAGGCAGGGGGGGCATAATGCTAGCTACACCTCTCACCTGCAAGCCTCTGGCTACAGGAGTTGGCCTGGCTGAGCCCCACCAACTGGTGGATGCCTGGCCAGGGCTGCATGCTGGGCATTGAGGGAGCTCTGGCAGGGATGGCCTGGTCAGCACTGCTCCCATTATCCCTCCCACTGATGCTCTCACCAGAGGACCATGCCTGGAGGGTCTGCTGTGACCTGTTTGCCATGAATCCATGGACAGGAACAGTGAAACCATCCTCCCTGAGCTCATCCAAGGCCAGGCCAGGATCAGAGCTGGCGATGGTGTCCACAGTGACCCTGCGTCTGCTGGGAGCAGCTCTATTGAGCCCCGCCAGCCCCGTCTGTTCCCCCCGCTCCCACTGCTCCTGCTCCTGTTGTCATTCTGGCATCCAAGGCCCCCTCAAGGGCTGCTCCCTGCAGATGGACTCTGACTCCTGGGGCCTGAGCATGACTGCCCCACCAGCCTGAACCCTCTGATGGAGGCAGGGCTGGCGTTCAATGCCCCACTTGGAGGTTGGTCGGCAGCAAATGTTGTCAGGGCAGAGCCTGCGACATGGGCAAGTGCACTCGCTGCCTGGCTGGGTCCACTCACCCTCTCTTTACCCTGCACTACTGCCCTGAAGCACATAGCAGTGTAGGCAGGAGGGACAGCCCCTTGCAGCACTGTGGAGCCACACAGGGATTTGAATCCAGGGCTGCTCCACCTGTGCACTTCTCCCTGCTCTTTGGGGGACACGGCCCTGAAACCCAGAGGAGATCCCAGACCTCAGCCCTGCAGTGCAGAAGGACTTCAAGAAGAGAGACTGAGAGCCTCTCTCTCCCCACCCCGAGTCCCCTGTGCCCTGGGAACCAGGCACCCAGAAAGGGAGGAGGAGAAGGGGGCTTGAGGGTTCAACCATGGGCTCCCAGTCCTGTGGGAAGGCTCTCACTGCCAAGCCCATCCTAGGTTCACACAGAACCGAACAGATCTGGGCATGCTCCTGTCCAAAACTGGGCCCTGACCATGGCATGGAGGGAGCCTCATCTGGGCCTTGTGGTTCATGTGCAGGGGGTGGGCTCAGGAGCTGCCTATGCCCCCAGGAGGAGCCGGGGATTTCAGGCAGTAGCTGGTCAGCAGCACAGAGGAAACTGGAAGTGCCAGCAGCTGGAGCTGGGCATCTGCAGAGAGAGACCTGTGCAGAGGGCTTGTGAGGATGTGACCACAGCTCTCCTCTGTGCACTGGGGTAGCAGTCCACCCATTCCTCTGGGTGCTGGGAGGAGAAATCCATCGGGAATGGAGCATGGTTATGGACCTGAGGCAGGGCAAGATCTGGCTAAAGCCAGGCGGAGCAGGGCAGAGCCCCTGGTCTGTGTCCAGGGGCACAATGGGTCGTGCCAGGCCAGTTCTCAGCCAGATAAGTCTCTGAGGTTTTGCACCAGCTGGGCTGCGTTTGCCATCAGGAAGCCACCCTGGCCATCTGAAGCACTTGTGTACATGGACAGAGAAACCCCCCTCATACCAGTACCATGCATTGGGAACACTGGAGCCCAGAGACAACACAGCAGGGGCCTGGAGCCAGCATTTATTCCCCCAGCACAAGAACAGTCCCTGTCCACACAGAGCGACCATAGCCAAAGGGGACAAGGAACAGAGCCAGCAATGCCAGGTAGGCAGCTTGGACCCCAAAGGACCTCACTCACCCTCTGCTCTCACCAGCTTCCAGACTTGGTCTCTTCCTGCTGCAGGGTGAAAGCAGGAGCAGGTCTGGGCCTGACTGGGAGTGTGGGCAGCAGGCTCCCCAAGGGACCCAGCCTATGCTAGCTGGGGAGTTTCACTGGCATTGCTTTTAGGGGAGTGATCTGAGGACATCTGGGGAAGGGACTGGCGGTAGGCAGCAAGAGGAGGACTCTATGAGCTCATCAGACTGTGGCGGGGGCTTGTGACTGCCAGAAACACCCAATAAGAGCAGGGCAGAACCAGGTTAGATCAGCTGCTGTGATGCCCTGGCCTTACCCCAGCTGCAGCCAGAGGGACCAAAGCAGGGGCTGGAGCCTAGCCTCAAGCCCCAGAGTAGAGACCCAAACCTGGCACCCACCCCACAGACCCCTGCCTGTCACTATGCCAGGTGCCACTCAGCCTAATGCCAAATGCTGCATCACTCAAAGCTGGAGGAGCTGAGGGCAGCACCATCTATCCAGCAGGCCTGGGCATGGCTGCTGGCTGGGCAACCCCAGGGCTTCAGGTGCCTCCATGTTGGTCCCAGTCCATCGCCCTAAGTTGCAGTGGGGGCTGTGGCAATGGCAAGGGGAGCAGTGTAGCATGTGCTGAGGGAGTGAGGTCTTGGAAGGGCTCAGACTGGTCCCTCACACACCCAGTGGTGTAGCTCCGCGCAGGGGCGATCATTCCAGTGCCCGTTTGGCAGCACCAAGGCACAGTGCTCACCGGCCCTGCTGCTGGGCTCCCTGGCCTGCCAGTAGCTGCAAAGCAAACCGGGGGGGCAGGTCAGAGCAGAGACAGTGGCCAACAGCTCCTGCCTCCCACCCTCCTGTGGGATGCACCCCCAGCTGCTCAGGGGCGTAGCTCCCTACACAGGCAGCTGGGGGCATTGCAAACTCCCCACTGCCCACTTGGAGCTCAGACCAGAGCTGCTTCCCGGCAAGGAGCATCAACAGGGCTGAGGGAAGACAGGGGCTAGAGGTCATGGCTGGGGGTGCCAGCAGGGCTGGGGATCACAGGGGCAGCTGGCTGGGAGGAGGCCATGGGTGGGGAGTGGGAGGCACTAGCAGGGCTGTGCAGGGAGCCCAGGGCAGGTGTGGAGATAGGGGCTGTGGAGGGGGCAGGGGGCACCAGCAGGGCCATGCTGGGAGCCCAGGAGCTGCAGTTAGAAGTGAGGGGTGCCCCACCACACTGCAGCTCCTACCCACACATAACCCCCTCTCAGGTCCAGGCCTGGCTGAGGTGTCACCTACCTGATGCCAGGGGTAAGGAGGGTCCCATTTGCCCAGCTCCAGGCTCCCTTGAGCACCTGATTTGTGATGCCCACCCAAGCAGATGGTGCCTTCAGGGTTTCCCTGATGTATTTCTAGAGGCAGAGATGGAGGCATCACCTGGGTGACGGTCCCTGCCCCTGCTCACTCCACCCCAGAGGCAGGGGCTCAGCTGGCCCCAATAATGGCACAAGGCCCATGTCCAGCTCCAACCTGGCAGGGAGCAGCAGGGCAGCACCCAGCTGATGCCCCAGCCCCAGCTCACCTGCTCCGCGGGGCTGTCCATGGTGAGAAGTTGGGCACCCTGAGCAGCGCAGGAAGTGTTGGCCATATCCCAGGCACTAAGGGATGTGGAGTAAAAATAGCATCTGTCCTGGAAGAAGGCCCAGCCCAGGCGGCAGGGAGTGCACACTACAGGGGTGGGGGGATCAAGCCAATGTGAGGCACTGGGCACCCCAGCGGAGAGCCAAGACACCTGGGTTTCACCCTGGTGCCTGTTCCCCAGCAGGGCTCCACCCCCAGAGGACAACACAGGGCATCCTGGGACCTCAATAGTGAGAGCTGACCCAGCTCACAGCCCAACCTGCCACATTTCACCCAGCCATGCTCTGTCCCTGGGCCCCCAGGGGTACCCACAAGGCCATGATGGCTCTGGAATGCCCATGCTTAACTGTGGGGAAGCCATCTCAGGCAGCTCCCACATGTCCCCTCCAGGCACCTCAGCAGGCCCAGAAACGAGGGCATCACACTTCAGCAGCTCCCAGCCCCATGGAGATGAGAGGGCAGGGACTGATAGAAAGCAGTCACATAAGGGCAACAACAAGCCAGAGCCCCCTCCCTGCCCCACCTCACCCCCCAGACCAAAAGAGATCCCACATATAGCCCCTGAATTCATCCATGGACAGGCCCCTCCAGACAAACCTACCCACCATTAAGCTTCAGGGTGAATATGCCCTTGAGTTAAAAGAGGAGCAGCTCCCCACTTTCAGCTCCTGCCTGCAGCTCTCTGCAGACTCAGGCAGCCTTGGAGATAGGTCATGACTTCAAACACAGGGCACCGGCTCACAGGCCCTGACTGTCATATACAGGGGAGCCCAGGCATCCAGGCCTACCAGCTGCCCACAGCAGAGTCCTGGGGCCTGCCCAGTCCCAGACAGCCTGTCTGGGGCCCAGCACAGGCTGTGGATGGCACTGCTGTGGCTTGGGGCTGGCTGGACATGGCAGGTGCTTGGAACTCACCATCACAAGCACGAGAACAGAGGTCCCGGTGGCTGTCATAGACCACCCAGCGGCTCCACTCCTTGTTGCCGGTGTAGAGCATCACCACAGAGCGGATGCTGTTTCCGTAGTTGAAGTACAGGGGCGGCGTCACCCCGGCCAGGCCCAGCAGTCCGCCCTCCCCACACACCCAGTGCTGCTGTGGGCGCTGGGCATCACAAGGCTCCAGGCGCACGGCTCGCTGGCTGGCGCTCTGTGCCACACCCACACAGCGCCCACTGCCCACGTGCAGCAGCCGGCCTCCCAGCACCCACCGGAAGAGCTTGGTGGGGCTGGGTGGGTGGCAGGTGGCAGCTGTCAGGGACTCCCCAGCCTCCACCTCCACACACAGCTGGTGGTTCTTGTTGTAGATCATGAAGGGGCTGGAGGCTGAGGACAAAGGGGTAGAAAGGGCTCAATGCTGGGAGCACCATTGAGGCAGTGTCCAAGCCCCAGGGAGAGCCAGGCAAGGACCAGGGAGCATCTTCCTAACTGGGCAAAGGCAGGTTCTACCTGAGTTGTGCAGGAGCCGGCACTGGGTTGGGGATGGGACAGGAGCCAGGGGAAGGAGCCCTGCTGTGCCTGCAAGGGGCTAGGTGGGCACTGGCTGGGTCACTCACCTGTCTCCAGGAGCTGCTGGTCCTGCATCTGTGCCTGCTCCACGGTGCCCTTCATTGCTGTGTCTGCAGAGGGGAGATACCATGAGATGGCTGTCAGTCCAGTTGGTTTTACTTACCTGACAGGGGAGGTTGTCTTTTCAGCCTTGAGTAACTCAGTGTAGCTAGAGGATGAAGCTAGAGGTGCCCTCTGCACAGCAGGCAGGCTGATGATGCCTGCAAGAATCTATAAATGCCTCCAAATGTGAGGTTCTCAGCTACACAGTTTATGTTGGTTGGGGATGTCTCTCAGGCTTTCCCTCTAGCTTTCCCTTTTGGCTGGGGGAAAGCAAAACTAGGGGGCATCTGAACTCCAAAGCTTGGGGCTTGCAGGTTGGATGTCTGGGAGGTGGGATACTTGCTGGTGGTAGTGCCACACAGACTTGAGCTCTGCTCAGTCAACAGAATTTGGGTTTGATTTGCCTGATTTGGCTTAAGACACAAAATTTCAAAACAAAAAAAGAGACAGGCTGCCGGGTCACTGCCTCCTAGGCATGCTGCAAGCAGGTGAGGAA